TCAGGCCTGGGTGTGGCTAGAGAAATTGAACTCAGCTTTCCAAAGATTTGATAAACCACAGTTAATTTATGTTTTAACAGGGGGGGGGCGGCAATCACTTTTTCACACAGGGCCATGTAGGTTTGGATTTTTTTCCCCTTAATAATAAAAACCTTCATTTAAAAACTGCATTTTGTGTTTACTTGTGTTATCTTTGTCTAATATTCAAATTTGTTTGATGATCTGAAACATTTAAGTGTGACAAACATGCAAAAAAATAAGAAATCAGGAAGACACTTTTCACACAACTGTACATACATACATATATATATATATATATATATATATATATAAAATCACAATAAAGCATGTTTGGTATGGTGTGCATGGTAATCCAATAAATACATATTCTATATGAAGTAACCGGGTGGTAAAGGGTATATTTGTTCATTCAGTCACCGGTGAAGATGCTGTTTGGATCGCTGATGAACTTTTTAACGTTTTGCGAAACTCACAATGTTCCGTGTCTCCACACCGAGACACTTGAGCAGAGTCCTGTTGGTGTGGGAGCCTCCCCACTGAAACCGGAGGCCGACTGCATCATGGAGGTCCTGATGAGGCCGAATCCTGAGAAATTCAGAAGGAAGGAGAGAAAACTGCTGTTTACATATCCACCATCATCACCATCATCTTCATCAACCAGCATCACCAGGGAGGCACCCTCACCACTGAGATCTTGGGCTCAGGTGTTCAAGTACCTCCTCCTCCTCCTCTTCTTCTTCCTCCTCCTCGCTCTCAGAGAGGAGTCGGCCGTGAAGTAGAGCATTGAGGTTCAGCACCTCCTCCTCTTCTTCATCAGCGGGGACCTCTACCTCCGGAAAACTGGCCATGAGAAGCTGCTGGACACGGCAGGAGAGTGACGCCTAGCCAGAGAAAAAAAAAGGGAGACGGTTCATTTAAAAAACATCAAATATCCATAATGATCTTTTGATCGACTTTAAGCTTTTATTTTATTGCCTGTGAAGTATTTAGAACGTTTGTCTGGCATGTTATAAATAAACAGACTACATAATGACCCATAATCCAGGACAAGCCCTTAAAAATACATTTTCTTCTGGCCAATAAGAATTAAGTATCATCATAAAGAGCCTCCCACCTGACAGCTGTTCCTCCTGGAAACCCCGTGTTTCCCATCCCGGTCCTGCTCCTCCTCAGCGGTCTGCAGGCTGCTGACTTGCTCTCTGGACCGGGTCCAGGTTTTCTCCTCCTCCAGAGCCCTCTGGTCCTTGAACTCCGCCCACGACCCCTCTCCCTCCTCCTGCGTGGGCGCCGAGCAGAAATCAGCAAAGCTGTCGCTGGGCGGGAGGTTTCCCAGACTCTGCACCGCTGCATTGGCCGTTTGGAGACACTCGTGGTCTTTGACGTCTGAACATGTGCCGTCTGTGTGTGTTCCAGGTCGAGACTGGCTGGAGGTAGCACGAGTTTCCTGAGTAGCAGATTGGTCGCAGTAATGAAAACCCTTCTCTGCCTCGAACCGAAAGACATTGGCCACGCTGTCGTTGACAGGGAAGTCAGAATAGTCTTCATCATCAGTCTGGTCCCAGTCAGTTTGGTCCTCGTGTGAAACTAGAGATGAAACATTTGGTTCCACGTCCGCAGAAGGACACTCGAATGACAAATCATCAGAGGAAGACGCCAGGTCCTCTGAAGCAGACCCGTACACACCGAATGTTTGAGGGACAGTAGAGACGCTCTTTTCATCCGACTCTCCATCCTTCTGCGTCTCTGCGGTTTGTAAAGAATTTAAACTATACCTCCTTTCATTCTGACCATCCCCAGACTTGCTGAACTCCTCCTCTCCCCCAGAATGAGGCTCTTCGGGTGGAAAATCCAAAGCTGCTGCAGCTTCCTGAGACTGACGGCGGTCCTGAGATGGTTGCACGAGTGCTGCATCTCTTTTCTCACAGTGCTCGACCTTAGTGCAAACATTTCCTTCTGCCTCGTGAGCACAATGAGATCTCGGCTCAGAGTCCAACACAACCTCCTGTCCTGGATCGCCGATTTGTCCACCAGAGCTGCTGCTGGTTTTGTGTTCCAGTCGGACATCCCACCGCCCTCTGCTCCCCGTGGGAGTGAAGCCGCAGCACCAGGGATGAGCCGCCTGCTCTGTAAACACAGTGAAATCAGCAAACCCGGTTTCCTCGCTGGGATAGCGTGCTCCCACTGCAGAGGCCGTGTGGGTCCCAGAGCTGGGGTCTCCTTCAAAGTACCCATTCGTGAGGCGCACACGTGATCCTACATTACAATCCTGCCGCTCCACGCGTCTCTGGTCCACAGCGGATGTGGGTTGGAATTGTTCCACTGGGCGATTAAAGCTACAGTTAGGTTGATGTGTGGCTGCTGGCTTTATGTTGGGACGAGGTTGTCTGAGGCTGGATGCTGAATCAGTCGAATCAGCGTAGACAGGATGAGAGCAGGACACCACGACGGAGAACCCCCCAAACTCCCCGAACTCCTCGTCCTCTGATCCCGCCTCCTCGTCGTCCAGTGGAGGTGGGGAGGAGGAGTGGAAGGGCATGACGACTGGCTCCATGGGTTCTCCTAGCAGGACCTGAGGGCCTCATGCACCTGAGGGAAGAAAGAGCAGGAAGAGGAGCATCATGGACAACAGAGAATCAGAGAAAATGTTCCAGTAAGGACCCATTTCTCTTCAAACATATTTCCTCGTTTCCTCCAATCCGCATGTAGAAAGAAGTGTCCTTCGGCAAGACGCTGAACCCCAAAATTACTCCCGAATGCTGTGCGAGTTTGAATTAGTTTAGGGTCTCGATAGCTGATGCCTCTGTACACCCTCAAGACCGCCTCGATTGACATATTGACAAAATCTGAATTTAATAGATCTATTGCACAAATCCAAAGGTTCCCACTTTATCTTTTCGTGTCTCTTAAAATCGTGTTAAATATTTCCATCTCTTTGAGGTATTACCAGCTCTTCTGGTGCTGATCCTGGAGTGGAATAAAAAGCCTCAGTGCTGACAGCCTTCAGTAAACTGATACAGGAAACATTATCCGCTGCTTTGAGCCTCTTGGATGAACAGTTTCAGAGTCCTGCGTCTGTAATAATCCTCCAACATAAACACACCACAACGGCTTCCTTTAGGTGGGAAAGAAACACAACTACAAACGTTTAATTAGTATCCTTAATATATATGATATATAACGTTATATATTTTTAAGTAGCATGCTTAATGTCTGTTGTGTACACACACACACACATTTAATATTATATATACATTTAATAGGCATCCTTGATGTGTTATAAAACTACATAATTATTTGGCTTTTTGAATTAATTAAAGCAGAAACAAACAGCGAGGTTTTTTTCTTTCTTCTTCGTGGGCAGACAGGTGTCAGCTGAACGTTAAGCTGTTAATTAATTTAAACGCTCGCTACAGAGGAGGCGGGTTTATGTAAAAGATAAGCTAGTTGTGGATAATTAAAAATGATACGTTGGGTTTAATTAAAGTAAGGTGTGAAAACCTACCGTTACATTTAAACCGCGTTACACCAACTGATTAGCTTACAGAAGCACCTGCTAGCTAGTGTAGCTAGCTTAACCGTCCAAAAGCAGACGTTGACATGCTATTTAAACGGAGCTAACAGCTAGCTAGGTATACAAACGGCCATCTTTTTTTTAATTTCAATTACCAACACTCATTCACTTTGCCTTCTCGTTACTTCTTCTTCGTCTATCTCTTGCGCCACAGCTCCGGCTCTCCATCCTCTGGCTTCATTCTCCGTTAAGTATTAACAGAGATATGTAAATTAAGTAATGATGTCTCACTATGTCAACGTTTCCAGGTGATGAAATTACTCATCGGGGGAAAAAAAGGAGTTTGGAAAACACAACGGGTACATTTCTTTTTTTCTGACCAGGAACTGACTCCTCTTCAAAATAGACGATCTTTGATTGAAACCACAATATCACCCCCTGCTGGAGAGACTTCGTCCTACACCTCTTCTTTTTTTTTTAACAACATATGCTACTTCTTCATGCAGTAACGGAAAGAAATTAAGTGCATCTACTCAAGTTGAGTATTTCTATTACTTTACACTTCTACTGCTACATTTCAGAGGGAAATATAATACTTTTTTAAACTGGAGTTAGTTCATTTAAAGTTAAATTACCATTGGATTTTACGCTATATTTGAATATTTTCTCTGCTTTACCTTGACAAACAAAACACATGATCAATTTATAAAGTATAAGCGTCAGTAATTATATACTATAGGTTATAATATCACTCTGAAAGGGACCAGTTGGCCAAGAAAGTACTTTTGCTTTAATACTTTAAGTGCAGTTTGCCGTTTATACTTTTACTTGAAATATTGATCATAAGACTCATCTTTAACAGAGTATTTTTTTACAGAGCAGTATTGCTAATTTTAAAAGATATGAGTAGTTCTTCCAGCCACTTTTTCACAGTTATGCTTTTTATAGTAGTAGAAGCGGTGCATTATTTAGTCAAATACGTAAAAGTAATGTGATCATGACGTGTTTCCTACAACTCTGTGGCTCATTTCAGTGGAAGATAAAATGTCTGTAATATCTGTCAATAAGTATCACAAACAGTTCTTTATCATTATAAACAAAATGTGTATTTCATGAACAGAGAAGTGCAAGATGACCATGAGCAGTAACGGGAATAAAAACGGGAAAGACTTGAAGTGGTCCCAGGATGAAATTAAGCTTTTTTTAGCACAAGCAATTCAATAAAACACCTCAAGAACCAACACAATGCAGAGGTCAAGGAGTTTAAAAGTGTGAAAAAGCAACAGCAGACAGCTGGAGAAGGGAGGGAGAATGTCCAAGTGTCAAAATAACAGACTCTTTTACTGAGTACACTGCTCCTAGTGACTATATTATACAGGGTTTTGTCATCTTCTCAGTGTTCTGGAGCTGAAATATGAGATTCTTTTTATCAGCGTTGACTTATTTTTCACATACTTCGTCCCAATACAGCAAACTGTATTTCACACACTCCTTTAACCCTTTGATACACAACATGGGTCACCCAACGGGAGTTTTAATTGTAATATCTTTGCAATAAATTTATTTCATCATTCAGAATTTCAGAAATTCCTCAATTAACTAGTTTCTGATCATCACAAATTCTTGTTTTCGTTTGTCCTTTTTGAATAAAAAAACATTTTTGCATCACTACTCTTCTAAGGCACAACATGGGTCAAAAATGACCCGTATTCATTTTATGTGTTATTTCATTCACGGCTGTGTTTCTTTGCTATATCTTTTAAAATCTATTAATTTAATCATTTAATATTAGAAAGTATTCATTCAAATATCTTGTTTTTGATTACCATAAATCATTATTTTCATTTTCTGTCTTCATTTTTGAACTAAAATAGTTTTTGTATTACATCAAGTTTACACACATGGGTCAAAAATGACCCATGTGTGTAAGTGTGATAAAATATTTAAAAAACAGACAATGATTTTGTTAAAAATTATTATTTTAGCAGTGAATTTGGACCAAATAATTACACACTTAATATTTGAAATGTTTACTTTCTCACACATAACATACAACCGATAACACTGATATTGAACTGTGGTAAATGTATAAAATGAATAAATAAAAGAAAACTGATTCAATAAACTCATATGGGTACAGTGCAAATTGCCATCTTAGGGCATACATGCCTCACAAATGACAATCACATGTTTGTGCTCCTTGCACACAGGGCTGGTGCACTTTGAACACCAGCTGCTGGCTTTTCTGTCTTTGACAGCTGGGCAGAACTTGCACCTCTTCCTCTTCACTTGGCCCTCCTGTCTGATGTCCTTATGTGGCTGGGTGGTGGCAGCGTTTATCTTTTTTAACCCACATCTTCCCATCGCCTCTATAATAAAAAAATATTTTAGTTCATAAATTAAGAAAGGAAAAGCTAAAATAAGGATGTGTGGTAATCAAAAACAAGATATTTAATGAATACTTTGAATATTAAATGATGAAATATATTGATTTCCAAAAATATAGCAAATAAACCCTCAGCCGTGCATGAAATAACATTGTAGGTCAATACGTGTAATTTTTGACACATGTTGGGCCTTAGTAGGGGTTTGCATAGCTTGTGTATCAAAGGGTTAAAACACTAAATAATTGTTGTAAATGTTAATAGTTTCTCTTGTTGAGCCTCCACACTAGTTATTGGTTCCAGACCTCTGAGTCACAGCCTACATTTTTAGATTGAAATACTTAGAAACAAAGAATAAATTAAGTTAAAACTGATTCAGTCTGATGATCAAGTCAACCAAACCGCGTCATGTTTCCCAGCTTCGTGGACTCGCAGCTTTGAAGCCGAGTAGAACGTTTTGCCGCAAAGCGAGCAGCAGCAGGACTTCCTCCCCCTGAGGCTCTTCTTACCGCAGGTTTTGAGATGATTGCTGCGGGCGACCATTTTGCCGCACGACCTGCAAAAGTACGGCTTCTCCCCCGTGTGCATCCTCAGGTGCACGTTGAGATTGGAGCTTTGAGCGAAGGATCGCGTGCAGAAGGAACACCTGTACGGCTTCTCGCCCGTGTGGATCCTCAGGTGCGCCACCAGATGGGCCCTGCAGGCGAACTGCTTGTCGCAGTCGGAGCACTTGAAGGCCTTCGCGTTGGCGTGGATCTTGTCGGTGTGCGCGCTCAGATCAGAGTCCCCGTTGAAGCACATGCCGCAGAACTGGCAAAACTTTTTGTCCATCTGGGCTGGTTCCTGCTCCTTATGAATAAACGCTGAGTCAATGCAATTCACACCACAAGAACCTGAGCTTCCGTTCCATTCTTCATCCTCGTTCACTGTCACAGTTATGGTGCTGAAAGATGGGAACAGCTGGAAGTCCGTCCGAGCATCGGATTCAGGAAGTCTGACTTCTAAATCCTTGTAAGAATCCTCCAGAACGTCTGGAATGATGCTCTGATCCACCTGCTGACAAGGAGACAATGAACCATCTCTTCCGAACCATTCATCGTCGATTCTTTCGTTCACGCTCACGGGTTCATCCGTGGAAGATGGGAGCAGCTCACAGTTGGTGTCTGGTTCTGATTTAGGAAGTCTGACTTCAGCCTCGTCTGGTCTGATGCACCGATCCACCTGCTCCTCTTTGACCCGCTGACAGTCACGGGCCTCGCTGTCCTCCACATCGGTAAACCGGTCTGGTTGCTGCGAAGGTAAAATCTCCTCAGAGACCGACTGGGTGTCTAAAAGACAGAGAAGCCACATGATACAATGTTAAAAAAAAAAAAAAAAAAAAAAGCATTCTCCTCTTAGCTGCAGTACAACCTGGTGTTTAAATAGACGTTTAACAGAATCACATACAAAGAAATTGATTTTGCATCTCTCTTAATGTACTTAAACAGAAATAACAGCGAGGGACAAAGACAACAAAGCTGGACACGTTTCATGTAATGGTCCAACACAAAATACTCAGAATTGATGACTGCTCTAAGCCCCTAAATAAGATGTGGTGCTACCAACATGATTAGTTAAATAAAGTCCACCTGTGTGCAAGCTAAGTGTCACGTGATCCCAGTACAAACACCTGTTCTGAAAGGCCCAGAGTCTGCAACACCATGAAGACCTCTAAACAGGTCAGGCAACACAAAGATAACTATGGAAGCCCATTTCCACCAGCAAAAAAAAAAAAAGTCACACAAAAAAAATAATTCTAATTATTATTATTTTTTTGCTGGCGGAAAAAAAGTTTAAAAAAAATACTGTTTTTTTTTTTTTTTTCCCAACCGGCATCCATCTGTAACCATAACACTGACCAGATGTTTCCAGTTGCTATAGAAAGTCTAAATGATGAGTCATAGAAGCAGCTCTTCATAGGTTACCCTACATTTGACATATAAATGGATTGTGAGTACATTGAAGACTTCTTTAAACGTGGCTTCACAACAGATGAAATACTTAAATTGCTTGATGTTTCACATGGATTGTACTGAGCAAACCACCCTTGAATAGACTTTAAGCAAGAAGCAGCTCTGGAGTATAAAGAATAAAACCAATGTGGCTGAGGTGAAGACCTTCTGTAAACAGCAACTGGAACTTTTTTTTTTGCTGGCAGAAAAAAAGTTAAAAAAAATGTTTTTGTTATTATAATAATCATTTTTTTTTTTTTTAAATTGTTTTACTTTTAACCGGTGGATTGCTCCCTCCAGGTGGGGACGGAGTGCCTACCTCAAGCGAAGGAGTTCAAGTATCTCGGGGTCTTGTTCACGAGTGAGGGTAAGATGGAGCGGGAGATCGACAGACGGATCGGTGCGGCTGCAGCAGTAAAGCAGGCGCTGCACCGGACCGTCTTGGTGAAGAGGGAGCTGAGCCGGAAGGCAAAGCTCTCAATTTACCACTCGGTCTACGTTCCTACCCTCACCTATGGTCACGAACTCTGGGTCGTGACCGAAAGGACAAGGTCGCGGCTACAAGCGGCCGAAATGAGTTTCCTCCGTAGGGTGGCCGGGCTCAGCCTTAGAGATAGGGTAAGGAGCTCGGTCATCAGGAGGGAGCTTGGAGTAGAGCCGCTACTCCTTCGCGTCGAAAGGAGTCAGCTGAGGTGGTTCGGGCATCTAATTAGGATGCCTCCTGGACGCCTCCCACTGGAGGTTTTCCAGGCACGTCCAACTGGGAAGAGACCCCGGGGAAGACCTAGAACACGCTGGAGAGATTACATCTCCCAGCTGGCCTGGGAACGCCTCGGGATCCCCCAGAATGAGCTGGAACATGTTGCCGGTGAGAGGGAGGTCTGGGTCGGCCTGCTTGACCTGCTGCCACCGCGACCCGACCCCGGATAAGCGGTGGAAAATGGATGGATGGATGGATGTTTTACTTTTTTTGGGCCAGCAAAAAAAAATTAAATCTTTTTTTTTTTTTTTTTTCCAGGGGGTGGATTTCCTTTTTTTGTTACCTTTTTTTTTTTTGGCTGGCGGAAATGGGCTTCCATAGGATGAGAGCTAATATCTGCATGTAAAAAAGCCATTGATAAAAAATAAAAAAGACCTGACCTGTTTAGAGGTCTTCATGGTGTTGCAGACTCTGGGCCTTTCAGAACAGGTGTTTATACTTAGATCACGTGACACT